ACCGGTTCTATCCACCTGCACCCAACAAGATCAAAAAGCTTTTCCCAAAGGCCTACAACAAAAGGGCAAGTGATTAGTATATGGTAGCAACTTTCCTCGTTAGCTTTGCATAAGGTGCACCAGTTAGGAGAGATACAAAGACTAGGTCTTCTTTTTTGCAAAACATCCAAAGTATTGATTTTCTCGAGGGAGACTTCCCAACAAAAGGCTCCAACTTTAGGAGGGACAGGTTTGGACCAAACTTCCTTGTTATGAAAAGGTTGAGGCAATGGAGAGGAGCACAACACAAGAAAAGGAACCCGAAGGTAATGGCTTCCAAATATGGGAGTCTACAAAAGGAGGGTCCAGGTTGGTGAGAGTTACAAGCGGGATATCAGGGACTTGGAGGAGCTCTTCCCAAGTTAAACCCCATGGTTGAAGAATTTGTTCCTCCTTCCCCCGTTAACCATGGATCAAGAGGTGGCCTTCATGCTAACAACTTTTTGCTACATAATAACACTATAAACGACAATGTCAACGGAAATACCAGCATACAGGTAGGATCAAAACTGCTTTCTCTCGATTTCTTTGCTTCCTTTTTCTTTTCTCTCCCTTCTATACATGTCTCTTTTGTCCCATTCTACTTTTATTAAGTCTCATCTTTCTTTAATTGGTTTCTCTCAGTTTAGAAAATGAATAACTATAATCAAGGGAACAGAAAATGAACAACAAAACAAGTATGGCACAACAATAAGAAGTAATTCGAAGGATTGTGTATGTATATGACATTGATCAGCAGGTAAGCAATTAAATTAGCTTCGTGGGGTTTCCATTTTTCTTTCCTTTCCTGCCCCCTTCGGTTTTTAGGTAGAATTCCTTTCTTTCCCTTTTCTTTTTTTTATTATATAATGCCTGTCGCTTAATACTTTGGGCCACGAAATTGAGTTGCAGAAGTGAATGTTCAAAGGGGTTCTTCCTAGTGTTGCAGAAGTGATGTCTGGTGGTTAGTTTTTGTTTATTTTGAACTCAAAACCGGAGGCAGTGAATACTCTGGAGAGGGGCTTGGTCAATTTCAACAGTCAGAGGCTGTGGGTGGTTCAATGGAACCCGAACTTGGAGAAAAGATCGGTTTTGAACACAGAACTGAAGGTTCATGTGCATACCAGTTACAGCTTTCTAAAATCTATTACGGTGGAGTTTGCAGGGGGACCGTATGAGGATGGAACAGTGTCTATTCTGATTCCTAAGGTAAAAGATAATGAACAGTGTCTTTTATTAAAGGGTAGTTTTGACATTTTTAAAAGTTTCAAGTCAAACATGTCATCACGTGATATAGATAACTGACAGACTACTAACATCAGGGACCAACTTGACAGTTTTGAAAGTTTGGGTACTGCAGTGACACGTTTTGAAGTTCGGGTACTAACTTGAAACTACCCCCAAAGTTCAGGGTACTAATCTGGAATTTTCCCATTTTTTAAAAACTTTTGGCCTTCCCAAATTGGTGGTTGGAATTGAGTATCCCACCACTCCTTGACCCTATCTTTAAACTCCAAATGGGTAAACCACATGTCTTCAAATTTGACTGGGATCGGGCCCCTATCAAATCTCCTCTGAGGTAATTCTAGGCAAAGTTCTTCCCAACAAGCCTGTCCAATGCTCTTCCCAATCTAGAGACACTAAAAATCTGTCGAGCTTAGAACAAATCGGTTTAGCCTAAAGGTTAGACCAAGTAAAGCTAGATTTCCCAAGAGGGAAATCTTTCAGTTCAAAGGCCTCTATGAACTCATTAAATTTTCTCATGCTTGTAGTGACCCTTCTCTTACCCCATTTGATTCTTCCAAAAACTTGATTATATTGAAATCTCCCCCTAAACACCATGGTCCTTCCCACTATCCTCTAATGTCTCCTAACTCATCCGGTCATCCCAAAGGCCAAAACAAATTTCTCTCTCTATATATATAAATCTGGCCCATACACATTCGTGAGAACCCATTCAAACCCATCATGTACATTCCTCAATTTTACATAATTGAAAATTTACCCACCAACTCTTCAATGCACTGCACTGTTTCTTCCCTCTAAACCGTTGGTATCCCCACCAATGCTCCCCAAGATGGGACAAAAATACTTCTATATTCTTAATTTTTTGAGATTATAATTATAAAATAGACATTATTAAACTAAAATATTCATTTTGTGTGTTTATATACTAATTTCTTTTTATTATTTTCTTATTTGTTAGGGTTTAATCAACACAGACATTGCTAAATGTTGTATTGAACCCTCAAAAGACTTCAAAACTTGAACCAATAGGTAAGGAAGAACTTGACATTTTGTCTAGCAACCTTTCTTTTCTTCTTTTCCTATAACAAAAGTAGGGGTTCAGCCCCTATATTTTTTTAATTTTCTTTTCTTTCTTCTTTTTCTTCTCATGAATATGTTGATTTTCTATACTTTAACATGAAATATGGTTATGGAACCTAGGGAACCACCCTAGGATATATGTTTTTTACTTAAAAAAAATCCATCGCCTAGGTGACTAGGCGTCAAGGCACCCCCTTGCCACCTAGCCTCACCTTGGCACCTTGAAAACGATGTTAATGATGGACAAAGCTCATTGCATATCTGCAAAGAGACTCACTTTAACCTGTCTAATAAAAGACCTTGTTCTAGCTTGAACAACAATGTGAAAATGGATATGAATCATCTTGAAATTACATAAATAAAAAGGTGAGGGAAACATTTTTCAATTTTTATCAATCACACTAGATTGCAAAATCTTGAACTATTAGCAACCAAGATGACCATAATCATGATGATATGAATTAAAATTGCTAATGGAGCTAGGGTGAGGCATTGGATTAGAAATTCTGGTGTCATGTAGAGGTCTATTGTATCTTTTGTTTTGTGATCTGTAGAGTCAGCTGCCCCTTGTGTTGTTTAGCCTTTCTTTTCCCTCTTGTTCAAAAAAATAAAATAAAATAAATTTTCAATAGGAATTAATCACAAAAGATAGGAAGTAATCATAAATGTACAGTAAAATATTGCATAGCAAGGTAAATATCAATTCATAGCCACTCTTTGTGAAGAGACATACCCAGACATGCAACAAGGTATCTTCCGAAGCAATACATAGCAAAGGCCTCATAGCCATCACGTAGGATCTCACAATCAACACTAATTGATGGATAGACCAATGAGACAAACTGTAGAAGTGAATTACCAGATCAGATAACATAATATATTTTTCCACCAAATGCACAGTGAGTAGGGTACCGGCCCAAATTCAAGTATGCAGCTCCAGAAGTTCATATCTTGTAATTCATAAAGATTAATTCAGTATAATATGAATACCAATAAATTGAAATTTATATCCAACTTGAGATGTCATGCCATGGTTTTTATCTATGTGCTATATGCTGATTTTTTTTGGCAAATCATACATTTTGGACCTTGGAAGCACAGATATGAGATCAGAAAAGCAAAAGATTTAATCAAAGAACAGGGAGCAGTCATAATGTGGATACTTAGGTCTGCTAGCAATACAGTAGATGGGCTGGCAAGACAGGGGATGACGAAGAATATATTGTATTGGGGCAAGGTACAACAAGGGGGGCGTTGTACACTTGTACTTGATACAGATAACCACATGGAGGTTGACCATACCTATACTCTCTATGTACATTAACTTATTTGCAAATTTCAATTAATAAAACTTTCACTGCTATTGATAAAAAAAATCATACAGTTTTAACTCAAAAGCTTACCGATTCAATGGAATAACAAGGAACCATTAAGACAACGCCAATCAGAAACTTCTGTTCCTGTCAAGAAAAGGCAGAAATAAATATCAACCAAGTAATAAAACAAAGGACCCTGTGTAGCTCAAAAAAACAAAGAGTTGGAAGAAAACCTCAGGATTCTTATATGCTGAAAGGTGCTCAAATATAAGGTATATTGAAAGCGAGAGAGTTATAAGAACAAGTACACCAGCAACTAGTGCTACCCATGTGGCTGGATTGTAAGATTGTAGAGTGAGATTGAGATACCCTGTTATCTTCATTAGTTATGATGACTTTTGACTGCCCTTGATTTTCATGGATGGAAAGCATAATGTATTTACCAGTTCCAAACGAAAAAGTATTAGCAATGGCTGGCATCAGCTGATGGAAACAGAACCATATGTACCTGAACACATGCATTAAAAGTGGTCAGCTCCGAGTTTAGAACCATCTTCTATCTATAAAAAATTACAGTTTATTCTATTCAAAAAAATCTGAAATTGTTGTGTATACCTCAACATCCAATAATGGCATCTACGTACAGTATAACTATAATTAAGAAATGACCCCTTTAAGAAATACAGTATGGTGAAACAGGAAATACATTGTTTCTTGTAACAATCATTCAAAATCCGACAAGTGGCCTTTATGATATACTGTATCTCTGATAAGGTTTTGAATTACAGATCCCACTCGCAGTAAAAAGTAACATGGCCTTTGTTACGATCCATTTGTCCCATGTTGGTAGTATGGGATGCTAATGTGAGGCATCCCATATCGGTAGAATGGGATGCTGTTGTGGGGTATATATGTGCTTGGGTTCCCTCCCTCTAACAGCTAGCTTTTAGGGGTGAGTTCTCCTAAGGCACATAACAAATGGTATCAGAGCCTACACTATGCCTCTCAGTTGCAATCGTGCGGCGTAGGTGGTGATGTCGGTATTGCAGTGTTCGGCCGAGACTAAGAGGACTAGTGCAAAGCCAGTCTGCATGGGCACCGGGACTGCGGAAGTGTGGTGGGATGTTACGATCCATTTGTCCCATGTTGGTAGTATGGGATGCTAATTTGAAGTATCCCACATCGGTAGAATGGGATGCTGTTGTGGGGTATATATGTGCTTGGGTTCCCTCCCTCTAACAGCTAGCTTTTAGGGGTGAGTTCTCCTAAGGCACATAACAGCCTTCATAAGATTTTTCAACATAGCATATTGCTTTACTTCAATGTATTAGATGCCAGATGAAAGACAACTCAACAACCAAGAGATCTTTAGAAAATAGCCTTAGTATTGTTCAGTTTGTAAAGCATAGCTCTGTGGATCAGTGTGCCCCTGCGTTTGTGTCTGCAAGTTCTCTGTGATGAATCAGAGGGATGGGATGCAATGAGTTGACACCTCTTTTGGTGTATGCAGCACTAACTTCCATACAGGCTTATAAAAACACGACAACCGATAGCAACTTTCTTACAATAATTTGTAGTTCCCAAATGAACTATTATACTAAACCAATCATTCAAAGATTGCAAGAAACACTTTATCTCTGAAAAAGTCAAGCATAAGTCCAAACTGCAACCCAGCTCAAACCTTTCAAACCATGGAACGGAACAACAGAAAATTTGAATACAGAGAGCAATAGCTAGCAAAGGAGTGACATTTATAGTTGCTTAAGAACCTTATAAAACAAAAGCTATACATCCTATACCTGATCGCTTCACTTCACATGCATCTTGGATGATACTAAAAGAAGACAACTACATAAAAAAATCAGATACAATATATAGTCAATTAAATCTGCGACCAGAAGAACGAAAGCCTCAAAGACGAATTCAAGAGGGAAAGAAGTTGGTACGATCGGCAAGCTCCTTCTCCGACCAATCGAGCCCAAACAAATATGAGAAAGAAAATTGTCCTGATTCCAAGAGGCAGAAACTAAAATCCATTGGGCAAGTAGAATGCGTAGAGAAAAAAGAAAACCTGATCGTAGGGCTTGAACCAGATGACACCCGCGCTAACACTGTCTCTCTCTCTCTCCTTCTGTAGTTCTGTGTTTCTGTTCCTTCCGGTTTTCTTGCGCAATTTAAAAATAGAATAAAACCAAGCAAATCTGCACAGCTTTCCTTCTGTCTGAATTCGGATTCAGTACTCACAAAACCGTCCTCACAACTATGGAGATATTCGCAATCCACGGATATAGAAGTTTGTGAGTACAGCGCGCGGACAGTTTAGTGAGGACTGAATCCAAATTTCCCTCTATTTACGAGTTGAAATCAAACCCCCCACAAGATAGTTTCCCATGATGTCCCAAAGCACATTCCCACATGTATCGGAAATATCTCCAAATGATGCCTCATCATTTCTGATACTTATCATTGTAGATGTTTTCAATATGGGGGCTGATTTGAACTCTCTATTTACACTCTATGCCAAAAAATGTGGATGCTAGAATGACGAATTTTTTTAATCACAATGACAAAATTCACATCAGCCCCTCCAATGAGGTGACGACATCTGCTCCTCACAAATGGGTGTCTCACACGCACATCCACCATGCATTGGGAACATCTCTCGTGAATATTTACTAACAAGTATGGGAGATGTTCTCAATGCATGGTAGGATGTGCATGTGAGGCACCAATGAAGCGCCAATTGTTAGGAGCAGATCTAGTCTCCCCAATGAGCACCCACGATACATCTCAGTCGTGTATTAAAAACATCTCCCAATGATGGTGTGAGGCACCCCCTTTGCAGGGCTGATGTAAACTCACAAGACATAATAATATCCTTAATTCCGGTATTCATAAAATATTTTTTTTTTGTATTTTGTTGCATGGTATCTCTGTAATGCATAAAACCCGTAATGCTAGCAATGCTCGTAGCAAGATAATCTTGATACTGCATTTCTTTGCCAAAAGAGTGCAAATGCAAATATAAATATGTATAATATAAAACCTTATACGTTATAAATTTATTTCTAATCTTTGTTTTGCTATGTGATGTGATGGGATCTGCTACTCATTAATGGGTGCCTCACAGGCACATCCACCGTGCATTGGGAACATCTCCCGTGAATTATAATTAATAAGTACGGAAAATGTTCCCAATGCATGATAGGATGTTCGTGTGAGGCCCCTGTGAGGCACTAGGTGTGAGGAGCAGATCCGATCTCCTATGTGATGGTTTGATGGATCATTGGACCAATCATTTCATTCCACATCAATCATATAAAGTGTATATGACCCACAACCACCCAATGCTTAGTTCCACGGTCCACATTGTCGTTATTGATTGACTAAAACACGAGTAATCAGAAGCTTCACTAAGCAATCCAGATTAGTTGAACGCTTTAGCTGTGTGACAACCACACTAATGATGAAATACATGAAGCCCCAATGAGGGGTTGAATGTTTGTGAACCCCATGACTAGTGTGGAGCATTATTATTGGTTCTATTGCCTGTTGAACAGCTATCACGTTTAGCTAAACCTATCTCTTTGTCAACTTTATTTTATTTTTTTGATCGGCTAAATTCTTTCTAAAGGCCCATCAAAATATTAAAAAGAAAGAATTTTCAGTTGTGGGCATTGACTATATAAAGGTAATGGAAACTATATCCACTACAATTTTACAACAGGATCATATGGGAAGATAAGCTTAGATTGTAGAAGGAGCAGCTTTGTGGAAGATATTGTCAATACTCAATAGTATCCTAAATATAAACCCTCCAACAATATCGTGGGAAGATAAGTTTATTAGATAGACTGAGTGCAAGTAGAAAGTTTATCTATCAATAGGTTGGTCTCTGGTCACAAAAGAGATCTGGTTGGTGAGGTGAAATATCTAAAGAATTCAGAGCATTGGATAGAGCTGTGGACAATGAAAGTCCACCAAAAAATAAAATTTTCATTTGAAATGCCATTGGACTGCATTAATAATTTAAAGAAAAACGTTGAAAAAAGAGGGTTTACCTATCCTTTTCTTTTCGATATTTAGTCATACTCCCAAAGCCAGTGGTAGTGGGAATCAAATCCTCATTCCACTAGAACAAACTAGCTAACATACCAACTGAGCCACTACTCAGTAAAAGGTTTACTATTCTGCTATATATCCAATCTTCTCTTGAAGAATGCTTTTATGTGATCATGCCCATTGGGTTTGGTTTGGTAGTGTTATAAACTGCAAATCATTGCACTTTGAGCACTTCAATTCTTTTGCTGATTGGTTCGCCTTTTGGATAGATTTGCACAAATCTTTTAGGTTGTGTTTGGTTTCCTTTCCTTTTTCCCTACTGTTGCTTTTAGCTCTTGTTCCATGGATTGCTCAGAAAAGTAAAAATAGTTTTGTTTTAGAAATTCCTGGGCAAAATGCTAATGTCTCCTTCAAATGTTGTGCACAAGTTGTGTGGAAGGAGAGGACTAGAGGAGGATTATTTTGTAGAAAAATGGGAAACTTCCTTTCTTCCAACCTATCAATTAGGAGTTCAGATATGTTTCTCACAGAGCACATCGTGCACTGGCCTCAAAGCACATTTCAGCCGTGCAGTGGGAACATCTGCCCATAAATAAATATTTTAAGTACGGAGATGTTACATATGCATGGCTAAACGTGTGTGAGGCACGCTCTGTGAGGAACAGATCCGAACTCATCAATTAGAAACTTCCATTCTTCAGTCTTTGATCTGCCTAAGAACAAAGGCCCCCTCCCACCCTAAATCTCTCTAAATGTGTATTGCAAGGTTCACATTGTGATATTTTGAACCTTGGCTAAGACATAAATTTTAATGGATAAAAATAGTTCAAGTAAGGCATTTGAAATAAATCATCCATGAATTATCATCATATGGATAAGTAAGCTTTGCATCTTATGGATAAAGTTGGTTTTAAATGGGTACTAATGTGGGTAAAATAAGTTCTTTGATAAAGCAAGGGATAATCTGGTGATTTAAAATTGTTTAGGGTTATTCATGCAGTTTAAAATCACTTACAAGGGTTTAATGGTCATGAAAACTTATTTATAGGAGGGTATTAAAGACATTTTAAAATTTATTAATGTTTTTAGTTGAATGAGTTTTCATGGAAAAAAAAGATCATAAAATCCTTGAAACTTATCTACCAAAACTCCTTTTACCCACCTAGATGGATAAGGAGAGTTGTTATTTACCAAACAAAATTTACCTACATTTTCTCCTTAGAGGAAAAAGACTTAGAAAAGACAAATGCAACCTAATTCACCTCCACGTGAATTAGTTACTCACCCAAGTCAAAATTTGTGTTTAGTACGTTTTTTCTACAGGGTGATATTCTTTTTTTTTATCTTTAAATTTTCAGACTAATGTTTTAGGGTTAAGAATGTGAAGAGGGGTTCTATATTTAAATACAAAGACATGTCCCAAATCCATATAAATTGCATTTCACTGGGTTCAAAAACCGATACATGTCATACAATACACATCAATATATTGCAATATTTTGAACTTTCGTGTTTTAATGCTCTTGAACTATTGAACTATAGTTATATATGTTTCAATAAATCCATTTAAGTAATAAAATATAGGGCAAATTTCTTAAAATACTCTTATGGTTTAAGAAATTGACTAACTCTACTCTTATTGTTCACATATTGTCTTAACGTATTCTTAAATTTTCTGATAATTTCCATCACCATTAAAATTGACAAAAAAAAAACAAAATGTCAAATTTATCCTCCCTTATTTCTTAAATTTTCAAATCATTCCTATTGAAGTCGTCCAAATCATCGGGTTCCCCACAATAAGTATTCAAATTAATTTGAATTAGACAAGCATGCGCTTCTAGCCTAGTATACCACATTGAACTCAAGGCCATTTAATGTCCTAAAGCAAAATATAAATGGACACTTCCATTTCCATGTTGTTGAAGGTCAAAACTTCAAATTCAGGGCTGCACCACCTAGGAAGTAGAACGATTGAACGTGTTGGTTTTTTTGGCAATCATCTGCAAAGGCTGACATACAAACATAGATGAAGTCAGATGTAGAGGACGACCAAGGCATTTGCCATTACCAAACCCAACAACCCTGTCCTCTATCTAGCTCTACTGCTGATGAGGAGCTTGAGGTTGATGAACGGTCCCAGCTATGGTTTTCAAAACCCGATCAGATCAGATGATTGGACCAGAAAAATCAGGAACCGGTGACCGATTCCGTTTTATTTCAGAACCATTATTTCGCTAAAAACCATTGATTTGATAAGCAAACTGATGACTCAGATAGTCGAACCGTTCGAAACATCCAACAATTTTGGTTTTCTTTATTTTTTTTATATTTTTAATTTTTTGTTAGAATGGACATTCGTTCGATCTAGAAACCAGATCCTTGACCGATTCGTTGTCCAGTTTATTTCTAAAAGCCTTGGTCCCAGCTATCTTCCTTTTGTCTTTCCCAGGCAGCAGCACAAGTTATTACTTCAGTTGTTGTCATTTCAACTATCTACATTGATTAGACTGCATTTACCAATAAGCAAGACCTTGATTTAAGTATTCAATGTCAACATGTTGTAGGAGTGTAGGGGGAATGCAAATTTCAGAAAAATATACATTTAGAGAGGAGAAAGTCGGACCCAATTCTAGAAGCTAATAGATTCTGGAAATATAGATTAAAAGAAAATTCCCAATTAAGCACGATATGTAGGTTTGGCAAACGAAGGAAAATAATAACTAACCAAACTAGAATTACAGATCAATATATTCTTCATTTGATGTTAATAGATAAATCTAAATTCAAGATAGAAATATACAAAATCAGATCGCAAAGGAAAACCAAGCTCTCCCTTCTTTGGTTCTCCGAGCCAATTAAATATCTTTGGGCATAACAGTAATCCTCTTACACATAAGTTGGTATCCTCAAATACACTAACCAAATAAGCCGCCACAGTGTTGCTTTGGAATCTCAAATCTGTCTTAAAGTCCTGGGCAATCTTACGAATAAATGGGTTTTCTTTGTCTTTTCTAGTTTGAGATACTAAAATCATAAAAGGGTAGTTTAGGAATTTTAAAAAATATATCAGTCACATGTTGTCACTTGTATACAGAATGTAACGGAAAATTAATGACAATGGAGGTTTTAGACAATTGTTAGAAAACTTAAAGGTACCTTAAGAGAATATGTAAACAGTAAGGATAGAGTTAGTCAGTTTCCTAAACCTTAGTGGTACTTTAAGAAATTTGTCCTAAAATATAACC